TTAGTATAAACATACTAATGGTCTATCACTCATACTGCGCTGTGATTGGCTACTCTACTAATGGTCTAATTTGTGATAGACCACTCGCGGGAAAATCAATCTCATTAATAAATTATAAATTATAATCTCATTAATAAATTATAAATTATGTGAAGTTTTAAGTTAAACCATATATCAAACAGACGTAAATATCTTTCTTGCACAAATATATTTTATTAAACATAGGTCAAGTCTATATCTTCAATAAATAATTTTCTCTTTTTTCTTCATAAATATACTCTGTCTATATGTCCATAGTTTTTGGTAAAATCATGTTTTCTCGTCGTGATCTTGATCAGGAACCTGAAATGAAAAGATTCAGTCAGTTTGAATCGAAGTTGAACATAAAAGTTTTAAATTATTCAAGTCCATATTCCGGGCTTGCTGCAAACCGTTCTCTACAGGAGGAAGAATTGTCTACAGCAAGTAGGCAAGGCCCATGCGGACGAATCGTGTCGGGGCTGCACAAAGCCAGAGGTTTTGGTTCGAATCCAGTCCTCTTATAATGAAAACAGTGATAGCAAGACAGTTTACCTATTGCAAGGACAGTCACATCAACTGGGTCATAGCCATTGGGTGCGTGCAGCTCCTTCAAACATACACGGAAACTCTTCAAGGTGATTTGCTGTAAAAAACACAGATGATATTGCATGCATTGTGTAAATATCAGATCCTATGAATGGAAACTGGTTTAGTAATTGTCTCTTTGGAAAAACACCGATTTGGATTTATTTTAGAATCAAACTTACCTCCATCCAGACCGATATGCTGTTGTACACAGGCAGAAGTTTTCCTACTGCCGAAGCATGTGTTGCTGTGGCTATCACTGTCGGTATTGTAGTGTAGTTGCCGTTTAGAACAGCATTCTGAACAAGCACGAAAAAACAATCATTTACAATGAGCATACTCGAGCATGCTGCTCATACAAGGAAAAAGTGACGAGTGGGACATCCTCTCAGACATCCATGTCGAACTCTGATTAATGGCTTACACATTCGAAAATTCCATTAAGAAAACATGAAGTTACGGCTGTCCTCTTGACATTTTTAGAGCAATAATCGAGAAATTCGTCGAGTATACTGACGTCTGAACGTTACGACTTTCTCATAAAGAGGACGGCCAAATTAATAAAGCTGTATACGTCAGAACATCATTCAATCAGGGTTTTCAACAGACTTCTGAAGCTTTAACGTCACCTGCTTGATTTGCATAATGCATCAGTTTCAGGAGAAAACCAATGTTTTGCATGGGGTTATATGGTATACGACGTAAAAGCTTAAGAGGTCTATTCGCGCTGTAGCTAAGAAAGCCTCAATCTGAATTATTAGACCACGCGGTATCATGGGATATAAATTGCTATATTTGTAAAAGGAAAGAATTGATTTCCCACGATACCTCGCGGTCGGTGGATGAAATTTAAGGTTTTCTCAACGACATAGAACTAGCTGTAAATTACCTGACAGTACGCGAAATTGTCATTTATAGAAGGTAGTTGGGCATTGGGGAATGATAAGCTGATTTTCTCGGCATTCATCTCGGCAGGCAACGTGTTATAAGCAATCCAGTTCTGAAAGAAACGAAAAAAGAAAATAAAACCACGATAGGTTACATTAATATTTGCATGATTTGAGGAATATTGTTTACTTTAAAAAAAAAACTCGCAAAGAATAGAGATACGGCAACTCTATATGTTTTTTAACCAGATCTGCCGACAGCACTGTACAAAATACKGTATTGCTTCCAAAATAGGTGCGATCGAAATGTAACCAATAGCATTGCTATAGCAACATCAAGTTTTCCGACTTACTACATGAACTTTCTCGTGTAGTCCATCGAAGTTCTGCATTTCACGGAGGCAAACTTTAAAGTCTTTCGATGTAGTGTCTTCAACCCAAATCGTTGCTGCGTCATGAGACTTTCCAACGACCATGTGTTCCGAAGAGACTAGAGCGTTAGGGGCGAGATTAAACTTATCCTACAAAATAAAGTGACAGGTTAAACCTCCTTTTTTTAATAAGAGAGCATTATGAAGCACAAAAACTGTAAGTGTGGAAAATTTCAATTGCATTGCTTTCTGAAATTTGAAAGTATCATTTTCAGCTAAATATTGTCCGATACACACTTTTTTTGTTGTACTCTACAATTTTACATTCAAATTCACTCCCGGCGCTTTTCTTCGTCGTAGCATTTCACTTTTGTTCTGACCAATTCCCGACCCATTTTCTACAACATAGCATGCCCTTTTATATTGTATTTCTGTAGCAACGCTCATGTACTCGACTAGTCTGCCACAAAATTCAGAAAAAATTTCCTTAAACAAAGTTACACCAATTTGCATCATGATGTCAACTACCACCATGCTCTGMCCGGTATCATGCATAAAAACTCTAGATAAAACTCTGAACGAAAGATACGTAGAGCAGTCAGATAGTTAAAGTCAAAACGAATCGTTACCGTAGGTAGAGAGATGGTTTTACATGTCGTTCCTTCCCACCATCTCTCAAGAGTTATCTCGCCAGCCACAGCACCAGCAGGAGCTCCTTGGTACGCCATATAGTCTACAAAAGTGGCTCCATCGTCAGGGGTGGACCTATCGTTCCTGCCTGCTTTAAGCGCGCATATCGTGAAATTATTGGCGCTGATCTTCTCGGCCCAGGCTACGGCGGCGTCGTGGACAAAGTTGGTATACACCGAGCTGTAATAGTTTACGGAGAGCTGAACGTGGACTGTTCTGCCAGCCATAAAGTTCTGAGTTTTGTAGACGACAAGATGGCATTGGACTTCTGTTTTGCTCAGATCCAGAGTAATGCGTCCGTGATGAAGAATAAATGCTGAAATTTATAGAACGTTCGGTAAACACTCCAGGTATAGATAATGACAGAAAAATGACAAACTGTTTAAAAAAGCAAATATTTGGCAGTTGTAATCAAGATATAAAGAAAAGAGATAATAAAATGAAGTGTACTGTAAGTATTCAGCAAAATACAGACAAACTCAAAAACAACAAAAGTCTGATCTTTTCAATTACAGCGCGACCGCCATCTTGAAACACAGGACGCAAATTACAAATTTTCATATAGATGGTATACTGTAAAGTCACTTTTTCTCGCAATGTTTTCAATGTTAGTTCCATTATAACTTCCAGCAATGAATACCTTTTAGCCACTAGACGTGTTTAACGACGAAAACCCAAATAAAGTCAGCAATCCTAAATACAAAGCCGCCTTACAAAAAGGCTGTGACATGGATGAGAAAGTTGCTTGTTGACTTACGGTAGCAAGCTCCTGGGTGAACGATGGTAACATTCTTCTTTGTCTCACAAACGTATTTTTTGTAAAGGCACATGTTGGTGTAGGTTTTGCCGTCACTTCCACACTGCAAGTCCTCAAAAGGTGGACATTTTTTTGGGCATTCACATCTAGCGTCCAGGGGTCCATAGGCCACGCATGTTGCGTAGTGAGTACACTTAACATTTAGACATGGGTCCAAATCTATATATATATATAAAAAAAAAAAAAAGAATAAATACTTGACGTTTGTTTAATACAAAAATTGCAAAAATTATGATCTTTTTTGCTGATATTCCATTCATCATCAATCCTCTTACGCCTGGGTGGCATGTAGGGCAGCCACTAAGAATTTCCATTTCATATTCCAAGTAAATATAAATATATCAGAAATTATGGGATATCATCGCCAATATATTTTTTTTGAAG